ATATCAATTTTAAATCTAGATAAATGTCGTTACAGAAAGTAATGGTATTATAAGTAATCATTCATTAATTATTAAAGATTTATCAATTCAAAAATGTCATCCAATTAATTCAACTATTATTTCATATTCATTAATAATGAAAGAAAATTTTTGGATTAAATATCGATGGATATTTATCATTTTTGTATTCATTAGTATTGCTGTATTTGTTTATATGGCTTATCAACGATTTAATAAAAAATCAAATGTTACTCAACGAATTCAAATTTCATCCGTTCATCGTTCTCAACATTTTTATGAAGAACCAGTATCCATCATTTTACAACCTTCAATAGACATAAATGTATATGATCATGTTCGAGATAATTACATTTAGAAAACTATTGAGAACAAAAACAAAATGGCGCATTTATATTATCTTTCTTCTTTTGTTTTTTTTTTATCATAAACACATCAGATGTTGAAGAAACTATTTGAATATGAATCTATTTTCAAACATTATGATTTTCTAGCTCTTAATAAAAATGAGAGTAATAAAAAGACGATTGATGCAAAGAAAATTACAAAAAATAAAACATTACAACAGAAAGTTGGTTTTGAAAAATAATATACAAGTTTCATTGATTTAAAATTGTCTTTAAATCTAGGCAAAAACAAAAGATCATGATAATGTTATAAAAATTCCAGTTCCCGATGTAGCTAAAGCACGTAAAGCAGCATACAGGTTTGCAATGATATAAAATATTGACATCAGATGTTTATATATATATATTAGCAATCAACAGCAATCACATCCAAAAGTAGTACCATCAATACCAGTCATATCATTGCATCCTTCATCTAATTCCACTACTAATACAGTGCAAAAATTACCAACATTCGAAACCAAATCTATTCAACCTGCATCGGTCAATTCAACAGTATGGGATCCAGATGAAATCAATGAATTTACACAAAATATATTTAGAAATAATAATGACAACAAAGATAACTTAAAGCCTCGTTCATATAGACTTCGATTGAATTGGTATATTTTAATGTATTATCATTTATTTTACTTTGTTTTTTACTCTATTACAGTCCTATAGATCCAGATGATTACTTAAAACAATATATTCAATCTCGATCTCATTGCTTGGATATTTTTGAAGACTATGTTAATTCACTTAAACGACAACATGGTATGATTAAAAGTGCTGATTCCGATCCACCTATATTCGATCCAGGCATAAGCGTAACTGGACCACAAGTTAAAAAAGAAACATCTGTCATTGATAAAGAAGATTCTCATGTCATAAAAAAATTGAACCGTACTGAACCAAGAAAAAAATATGCATTAGTTCATGAACAAATAGGAATATTTATTATTGGTAAATAAAAAGAAAATCTTTTGTTATTCATATTGAATTGTTTCGATAAAAACTATTTGAGGTGGATACAATTTATATAGTGATATTCCTGTTCAAAAAGAACCTAATACAGATTATTTATTTAAATTCAATGGAGATGTTGTAGAAATTCCACCTTTAAAACCATGTCGGATTCATTTTGGTGAATAATTAAGTAACAGTAATTTGTCGAATTTAACAATGAAATATTACAGGAATTTACACAGATGGAGAAGGGATTTATATCGGTGGTGGACAAACAATAAAAAATGAGTAAATATATTTTAATCTACAAATCTTTATCTATATCTATATAGTTTTATGAGGTTAGATTACTTGATGATATTCAATGTTTCGATTTAAAAACACTTAAATGGAAGCATATTGCAACATTAATGAATCCAATTGCTGCATGGTTCGATTAGATTTTTCTTTAATATAAATTATTCTTTTACTTTTATCTCTTTAGTGGCATGACATTAGATGATAATCGAATTTATCTTGTGTGAGTTTTAATATAATTAAGAAATATATTTTTATATCAATTTATTTAATTATCTGTAGTGGTGGTTATGATATTGTACGTAATCATACTATTTTATTAGCTGATTATACTATATACAATTTATCCAGTCAGCGGTATTTATTTTGAAAATAATTTCTTTGTTTCTATTATTCAATCACTTTAGATTTGAAAAATCAGCTAATTTACCATCACCACGTTGTCGTAGTTTAGTTTTTGCAACTGATAATGCTATATTTTGTATATCAGGCTTATTCGAAAGTTCAGATGCAAATTATAATAAAAAAATGAAAATTTCTACTGTAAGTTATAAATTTCAGTTGTTTCATAATATTAAAAAAAAGGATATTTTGAAATGGACACCAAAATCATCACAATGGAGTAAAGTTTCTCAGACACCTGAACTTACAAAATTTCATGCATTATCATTCAATGGTACTTAAAAACAATTTCAATATGATTTTCTAAATATTTCTATTTAGACCCATATCTTGAAGTTACTAAACGAGATGTCAATGATCAAGGCGATGAAATTGGTACTTTGATAGAAGTATTGTGATAAACTCTTTTTGTAATTTATTCTTCGAATTTTATTTAGGCTCATTATAATTTTCAAACAAATCAATGGACGAATGGAGGAGCACCGTAAAATTATACAAATTCAGCACCAAAAAAATCATTCCACTTATCTTTTTTATTTAGATCATCATCTTCACCGATAAAAACGAAAGATGCATCTCAAGCTACAAAAACTCCTTCGAAATCAAAGACAATAAAAACATCTAAGAAAACGCCTTCCAAAAGCAAAGGTTTTTACACTATGATATATTCAATATTACTTATATATCATCTATTTTCTAGATAAAAGTCGAGATGCAAAAACTAAAACCAACAAAAAATAATCATTTTCAACAGCTGTAGCTAGTTGACACCTTTTTTTCAAGTGTTACATAAATTCATTAATTGTTTATAAACTTATAAAATACGAGTTATCGAAAAATTTTGTTACAGAATACTAAAAATGATTTTCGAACACCTTATTTTCTAGATTATAGTGCATATAAAACGAGTATAATCAATACCTTCCGACGATATTTCCATACAAGAAGCTGAGTACTGCGCTAAATTGTAGAAATTTATGATAAATATATATGAATTGCGGTTGTTGATGTGACCTTTATCTATAGCAGTTATTCACGACCACTCACACCCCGCGCTCAAAATCTGGTCGAAGAATGGCGAAAAGATTACACGGTAATAAACCGGTATTAATTGGCTGATTTAAAATCAAACACTATTCGTAAGCTATTATCAATTTTAATTTTGCTAAGAACGATGATTCAATGCGAGTTTGAATCGGATGAAACAAATATATTTTGTTTCAGAAAATATTAGTTTATCACACGGACGTCTTTTTGAGATTCTTTATTCGCATTTAAACAATATGTTAAGAAATAAAAATCATAAATTACGACACACTTTTAAAGTACATTTCAAATGATTAAAGATTTGCTGATTTTCTACTAACAAATCGAGTATCATCATTAGTAGACTCTTTAATTTAGCTCGGCCATCAGCTACAGTTACGGAACGGCTTGAAGAACTTTTCGATCTAATGAATAATAATGGTATATTTAGAGATGATGGGTGAACATTAAATAAAGTTGACGCAAATCTTGTTACTATTGCTGCGTGGACACCTCCAAAATCAGCGCTTAAATTGTTCCACGCCCCTTTATCCAACAGTTGGAAGTAGAGCTACATGCAAGATAATCTCGAAAATACCACATGACAATGGGTGTGGGTATTGATATGACTTTTATCTATTGCAGATATTCACACTCACACCCACCCGCCCTAATTTGTTTTAAAACTATATCTTTTATTGAAAACAACGACATTTTTGATAACAATTAATAAATAATCTTTTTAAAATATTTTAGAAAAACATGACTGATCGACTCATAATCATCATCTACGATTCGTTCAATAGAATTATCTATCGGATAAGAACAGAAAACCCAATCAAAAGAACAATTGCTAAAAAAATAATACGAATATTCTTTTTGTTTGACATAGTAAGTGCCACAATTGAATTATGTATTACACTTTCACTTGCTTCTCATTTATAGGTTATACTAACTTCCTTCATTATCACTAATTTTATTTTAATAAAAAATTTTTAAATGAATTAGTACCAAATATATTTTCACCAGAGAGCGATGGTTTTTCAAGAAAAAGGGGTTTAAAATTTTCATAAAGAATTCAAATCATTTGATGTTAACTACATGTGCACTAAACATATATTTAGTATACATAATCAAAAAATCATAGTTCCTGTTTTTCGATAATAACAATTTCGATAAACTAAACAAATGGTGGAAAGCAGTCAGACGAACAAACGTTTAAATTTTTAATGAATAACGTATTTAATAATTTTTTCAGAATTGTTCTATTCGTCTGGTAGCATTCGTATGTGTCTTCTGCATAACTTCAGCAGGATTCTATGTAAATAATAATGTAAACAACAATTTGAGGGTGTGGGTACGGGTGCGGGTGTGGGTGAGAATTTTATAGTCATTTCCCACACTCTCATGTTATTCATATATACATCATATAAACGATGCGGTATTACTGTATGAATATTTTCAACACCATATTATCCTCTCGTGATATTGAGTTCAATCAGTATTGATAGTCTAAACTATGCGAAAAGAATGTGTTTTAGGTTGTCCTATTACTATATCAGAATTCAGTAAAGAAGAAAAATGTCTTTAAATTATATTTTCTGTTACGAAGATGAAATTAACAAAAATTAAAATTAATTTACTTGATAAATTGAAAGAATTGATGAAGATGACAATAGATGATTGTGTTTAGTTGAAGCGAATTTTCTTGTGTGCACAATATGTATCTTCGTTGTTTTTCTTCGTATTTATTTGCAAGAGATAACTCTGCTGTATCCTTCTTATTCGTTCCTATTAACAGATAACGATGTATTTTATCATGTGCAAATAAAAACTGTCGTGCAGTAGAATTAAATTTATTAGAGAATACATCTTTTTTGATAAAAGAACAGGCATGTTGGAAAAAACCAAGTATAGATAGGGTTTGGGTTCGGGAGTGGGTGTTGGTTTTGGTGCAGATGTCATATGTTTACTCACATATAAAAGTAAAATCGAATACATTTTATTTTTCGTAGATCTATGAAAGGATGTGAGATTATTATACTTATCTTTCACTCAATTCTATAAGTATTATAGTTATCCATTGAATTCATTTTTTTTCGCCCTCAAAAATTCTTATTTATTTAAGTAAAATTAAAGCATAGATTTCCTAATTGAAATACACCTGTTCAATGACGTATGTTGCAGTTTTTAATCAAACAGAAAACTCTATCCATGTGATATAATCTGAGTAGGACAATTGAATATTTCTATTCAATATAGAAATATTCCAATAATCTATATAAAACAAGTAACGCTCGTCTAAAGACTCGTGTAGCTCTTTTTCGTAGAAATTGCGTTACTAAACAACTACTAAGATATTGATTTATACAATTAAAAAAACAGAAGTCAGATTTGAGTTCTTCAACTCCGTTCATCTTTCAGTCAATCATTATAAAAAAGTGGTTCTTGTGTAAACAAATTATGCTAAAAAAAAATCTAAAAAACTAACACTAGATTCGAGTGCATCGCTCTCGATTACCTTTCGGTCAACCCTTCTAAAAAAATTCCTCTTATATTTTTACTTAATTCTTGGAACAATCAGTGAACTGCAGATGTACAAGCAGACAATTTATGCTTGGAAGTAGGGGTGTCACTTTAACTTTAACTTTATTAGTTAACGTGCTTAAAGTTTAAAGTTAGAACTTTAACTTTAACTATTAAAGCAAAGTTAAAGTGACACCCCTACTTGGAAGACTTCACTACGATAACGATAATTCTTTTAAACACACTTTTGATCATTACTGTTCTGTTATTTAAGTAAGATGTTTTCACAAATGAATACTTTCTTGAGAAATTGATAAATGAAAGTGTAAAAAAATTTTCTTTTCTCTTTTTAAGTTGTTAGATAATTTTATTTGCAACAAATAACTGAACAGAAACGAGTAAAACAATATAAATAATTTATTAAAACATTTTTGCTCTATTTCTCATCTACTGTTGGTATAGAATTCTATAAAGTACATATTCATATTGGAAAATATTACTATCGTTAAATCATTAATTTTACTAAAATGATGACGACTACTGAATCCTGAAAAACTTCATCATTAGAGTAGTGGCGTAACCAGAAATTTAAGGGTGATGGGGCTCAGCCCCAAAACCAGAAATGGACAACTCAGTTCGAAAAATGACGAACTCAATTTAACTCAATTTCATTCATTAACCTAGTTGAATTAAATTGAGTACAACTTTTTAGTATGACTGAATTGAATTGAACTGAGTTAAATTCTGGAAAATTTTTAGTGGGCGTGAATTGAGTTGAATTCAATTCAAAAGTTTTTTTCACGAATTGAATTGAATTAATTCACTTTTTTCTGCTAAGTTCCCTGCCCTGCTCTGCCCAAAACTGTCTAGTCTTTTCGATTTTTTGATTGTCAAGTTTAGTAACTAAAAAAGCTTATCAGCGCAGCCCCGTTGGGGCTAAAAATGTGGAACTCACGTATGTTCGCATCAAAATATCTGATCATGTTTAAGCGCTTTGTCTTCTTTTTTTGCTCAAATTTAGTTAATTTATAGCTATTTTTGACAATTTTTGGTTATTTATATTAAATTCGCGGCAGTATATAGCTATTTTTAGCGATTTGTCATTATTTTCATAAAAGTTCCCGCAATTTATAGCCATTTTCGTTATTTTTTTTTATTAAATTTGTAGTAATTTATAGCTATTTTTAATGATTTTTGTGTATTTTTATTGAATTTGGGGGGAGGGGGGAGGGGAGCTGGGAAACTGGAACTTAAAACTTACACTCACGATTTTCTTCGAAAACTTACGTGAGTTCCACAAAATCCGGGTGATGGGGCTTAAACACTCGGTGATGGGGCTAAGCCCCATCTGGCCCCCCCCTGGTTACGCCACTACATTAGAGTGAAATTTGTATATTTCAATATAAAACCAAGAATCACATATTGTAAAACATCGGCTTATTTGTGTTTTGTTTGATTAATTCTTTAATTCACTCAGCTTAGAATATCTAATACTCGGATATGAAAGCATTCAATCGGATCTACTATAGAAATTTCATCTTTGATTTTCTTTCCTTTACAATTTTATTAGATTGCTGTAAATATGAGTACAGAAATGACTTTTTCAAATATTACATTCTGTCCACCTTTTCACCAGTGAGTACATCATAGAAAAGCAATTGATATGAATACTACTTTCACGAACATTTTCACATTATAAAATTAATTGAAAAGTTAAGTTTCTACGACAATGTTTAGATGTGATTCTGACTGATTATAGATAGTGTCAATGCTCAAAGAATAGTTTTTTATCACTCCTTTTCTCTATTTTTTGTTGAAAATAATCGAGAATCTTTTAATTTAATAAAACAAATTTGAAAACTTTATTAAAATAATTTTCTTTGTTAGAAATGTCAATTTATATGGATAGAAACAGGAACAATCATAATGACAATAGGTATATCACTAAATATGTCATACCTACTGTTCCTTTACTTATTAATATAATATTTGCAAATATGTTAATTTCAAGATCGTCATTAGACTTCTTTTGAACATAATGACTATTATTATGAATATCCTTATGATCCAACAAAGTAATATTATAGTACTATAGGTTTTCCCGCACCAGATATTTTTGACATAAAAATAAAATAAAATCTCTTTCTCTTCGTAGATATTAATGTTGATTGTAATTTAACTTAAACGTT